GTCATACTCTAATTATTTATATATTTTTAGAGTGTCAACATTTCAATTTAAAAGTATGTATGAAAATAGTATGATTGTCTAAACTTAAGCGTTGGGTCAGCCTAGTACTAAATTAGGAGGTGAGATTTGGTGCCATATTTTTCCTAAATGTACTTTGTTTTTGGATCTCATTGAGTGGTAAAAAATCCTAATAAATCAACGTGATAGGTCTACTCATTTCTCTGTCAGGGTTTCTCCATGTCAGTTGTTTCTTGTGTTTAGGGATGGGAAGACGGAAGGTTCCAGTTGTCGAGTGCTGATTGGTGTTGGTCATTTCTTTGAAGGCTTAAACGGGTTCAAGAGTTTCATATCTGCCTAGCCATAGTCGTTTTGGAGTGTGAAGTTTCAGGATTTGTATACTTAGTTGTGGTTTGGCTCTTCTTTGTAGACCATATTCGATTTCCTGGCTCGAGTGGTTGCAACATTGGTGAAGCTTGGTGGTGGTTGGGGAGGACTTTATTGTACTTTATGTATGTTAGGTTTTTTAGTTTGTGTTGTCTTTTTGGTGTTGTTAGAGTGTGTTTCGACCATTTTTTTTTTAACGTTTACACCTTAAAATTCAATACAGAATTTCAATATTGTTTTATCAAAGTAATTGGTCGTAATCAACCAAGATTGCAAAAATTACATTATTGCAATCAAAGTGAAAGTTCATTGTAAGTTAAATAGTTATATCATTATTGTTCATTTTTTCTAATGATAAAATTTATAAAATGTGATGGGCTTATCATTTAACTTATTATGATTTTAAATATATACACACATATAACCTATAAAAATTTATTTAAATTTGAAGCATATGCACAAGATTGAATACTAGCCTCAAATAAATACCTTCAAATATTTAAAAGTCTTAAAAGTTCAAATTAAATACATCATAATAGAAATTTTAAATATTCATTAATAATAATAATAATTCCAAATGAATATACTTTATGTGTCCCAATAGAAAGATTTTGGATATCTTTAAGCGAGATACCACAATTCTAGGCTCTTCAGAAATCTCATATGACCAACCAAGGGCTAAACAACTCCAAATCTACCCCCATTATAATTTTGTTACATATTTAGGTACATTCAAGATGATACCATCAATTGGGCAAAATTTCAGAATTGGTCTTATAATTTGGCCACTGTCCAAAAAACCATCCCGATATTGACCACTTTCAATTTAAGTCCTATAATTGATCAATTTCATCAATTTTGGTCCTTTTTATTCGCACTCTAGAATAAAAAGTGACGTGACATGACGTGTATGATCTACGTGGCACGTCAATTTTGGTCCTATAATTAGTTGATTTCATCAATTTTGGTCATTTTTTCATGCCACGTCAATTTTTAATCCAGGGTGCGGATAAAAAATAACCAAAATTGATGAAATCGACCAATTATAAAACCTAAATTGAAAGTGATCAATATCGAGGTGATTTTTTAGACAGTGGCCAAATTATAGGACCAATTTTGAATTTTTGTCCCATCAATTGTCTATTGTAAATTAACTAGTAATTGAAGTAAGTATATTCAATTACATGTTTATATTAACAAACACACAAAAAAAACTATTATGATAGCAGGCCAATTAGTTAACCTTTCATGAATCCAAGTTTATACCAACTAAGAATTAAATGTAGCTTTCATGAATCCTTGTCAACAGATGTTTTTATCAACTATTACATATCCAACTTGGAAGTAAACACCTTTTTTTTTATTTATTTTTTATTTTTTTATGTTGAAATGTGAACATTTAGTTGCAGTGTTTAAAATTCCAGAGATTATTAGTGAAGACTAAGTAAAACAAATATAAATATTAGAATTCCAAAAAGGTTCAAGTTGTAGCAATGAAAAGTTGCTTTCAATAGGTATGATAAATTAAAACAAGTAGGCCTATACTCACTCAGTTAAGCAAGCTACCTTTACAATTTGCAAGCAAGATGTTAAACAAAATATTGTTCCATTTATAAATTATAATAATAATTCAAGCAGGACACAGAAACTTGTCAATTTCTTTGTGACANTTTAATATATAAAAATATATTTGGTTTGACAGAATCCTCCTTGGTTAGGTTGCAATAAATGGATATATTAGACTAGGTTAGTTAATTATCCCCTCACATGAAGGAATTAAATAAGATAAGCTGCCACCCCAGAAAATTATAAACTATTGTTGTGAAATTTCAAAAGTAATATTTTATTGGAATCAATTTTCCGTTGATTTTTTTTTTAATAAAAAAATAAATGGCGAACTCAAGTTCTTTATACTCGCATTTGAGCTCAAGCATCTATCGATCCTAGTGAGTTTGACTCATTAACTAATAAGTCGATAAATGAGTTTGAACCTTAACAATCCAAATTCGAACCTTACGAGCGAAAATAGTCTAAATGTTCAAGAACTTACATAAAACCTTATTTATCGAGGTCTTAGCTCATTAACTAAAAGAGTTAAACCTCAATTCATTTATCAAATGAGCCTATTCGAACTCAAAAACTTACGTAAAACTATATTTATCGAGGTCTCAACTCATTAACTAAAGGAGTTAACATCGATTCATTTATCAAATGAGCCAATCCGACCTCAGTGTTGAACCCACGCACAACTCAATATTTTTAACAATTATAAATAGTAAATACAACTCAAGTGTACTAGTTTTGAAATAAAAAAAATAAGCAAAACTAATAAATATGATCAATGGGCTAGAAAGTTGGGCCAAAAAAAGTCGATAGCCCGTAATCCAATATCAGTTAGGGCCTTGATTGCGGCCTTTTTGGTTATTCATATATATTTGGGAAAAGCTAACCCCATTAAAATCCTTTCACATAGCTGAATCTAGGGTTTTACGCCGCTCATTCTCAGTTGCTTCCCAATCGCTCAGCTCAAATGGTATGGGTCCCTTTCAATCTTGCACGCGAACATACTCACAATTTTCTAATTTTAGACTTCTGTGTGAAAATGTATTTTTCTGTTGGTACCACGGGGACGTGTTCGATTGATAGTGTAAAATTTCAGATTCAATGTGTGATTTTGCTGCAAAGCGTGTCAATTTTTGTTGGGCATGTGCAATGCGTGAAGCTCGTTGGGCTATCTTGAATACTGTAATATCAGAATCATGGTACGAAGGAGAGGTGTTTGATTGACAGTGTAAAATTTAGATTTCATATATGATTTTGCTACAAAACGTGGCGATTTTTGGTGGGTATGTCTAAAATATGGAGCTCGTTTGGCTATCTTGAATACTTTAGAGTTGGGATAGTGATACGAAGGGAAAGTGTTTGATTCGCAGTATAAAAATTTGGATTTATGTATATGATTTTGCTCAAAAAATGTGGAAATTTTTGTTGGGTGTGATTTGTGGAGTTTGTTAGGCTATCTTGGGCAACTTGAATACTGTAGGATTAGAATCATGGATGAGTGGAAATTAATCCAAGAAGAAAAGTCAGTTTAATAGTCGCAATGATCCTCACTATGTCCGGATTTGTCATATGTACCTTCATTACTTTATTTGGCTTAAGCTGGATTTTGTGGTTCATAAATTAGTTGCAACTTTTCAGTAAAAATTTTGGCAACTCTTGATTTTGCTACGGACTTTAATATTATCAATGGTTGTCTTTTTCCACTATGATCCTATTCTAAATGTAGGCCAAGAGAACAAAGAAGGTTGGCATTGTTGGGAAATACGGTATGTTTCAGAATTATGAATTTTGTGTTCCCACTGATATTTATTGTGGATTCTTTTGTCATTGATGTTCTAATTTGATATGGCCGCACCCCATTTCAGGTACTCGTTATGGTGCCAGTTTGAGAAAGCAAATCAAGAAGATGGAAGTTAGTCAGCACAGCAAGTACTTCTGTGAGTTCTGTGGGAAGGTAAAGGGTTTAAGTTGTTTTTACTTATAATCTTAGTTTGGTATTTTCCTTTGTGCACTAAAGCTGAAAGCTTTTATTACAGTATGCTGTGAAAAGGAAGGCAGTTGGCATCTGGGGATGCAAGGATTGTGGGAAAGTGAAAGCTGGTGGTGCCTACACGTTGAAGTAATATTTTCACAATGCTACATCACATTTTATTGCTACCCATTTGTTTTCTTTTGTTTTTTTGTTTTTTATTTATTTATCTATAACTCGTGTGCTTCTGTTTTGCAGCACTGCTAGTGCCGTGACTGTCAGGAGCACCATTAGGAGGCTGCGGGAGCAGACAGAGAATTAGATTAAGCAAAGTTTTTAATCAGAATTGTCATTTTTTTTTCCTTAAATTTTTAGTTTCAACTTATGGGGAACATTTGTTTAAATTGAAAGCCTTTGAAATTGGTGTCGTTTGTATTTCGTTACAGTATGTTAATGAAGTTCTTGAGAACTAGTGAGTTTTGATGAATGGCCAAGTTTATTTGATAAGCTTTGAATCATGGCTAGAATTAACTTACGTTTGTCATGGTGGTTTTGTTAGCTAATTGCGATGAGCAAATCAGCTTTTACTGATTTGCTGCTCATTAACATAAGCTTCAAGGCGGCATAGGAGCATAGGGTAGGGTTAATTCCAACTTTATGTTCCTCCCCAACTTAAGCAACTAAGCTATCTAAAGTATTTCATGCTTGTTTGGGAATACTTATCAAATGAACTTTTAAATGCAAAAGTCTATTTGGATAAATACTTCATGTTTGAGGCTAAATTAAGAATGAATCTCTGAATAATTTAATTCTTCAAGGCATCGTTTACTTCAAGGGATGGGATAACACAAATTAATCCCCCCTACTTTCCACGTCAGCATTTAATCCCATGTTTACTTTTGGGTATGGATTTTGTCTAAACTATCCCTTCTTTACTTTGATGGATTAATCAAAGTCATAAAAACCTACAAAGACATGAGTACCCCTGTGAACGAGCGGCGACATCACTCCCGACGATCAAAGACAGTTGCTTTACTTCGAGGGTTGACGACGTCCATCTGATAGCCCTGCGATTCTCTTCTTCCTCGGCATTCAATTGGGTAGGGGCGACATCACTCCCGACGAGAGGCAATATTTCCGTTCATTTTTGGGTACGGCTTTTTCCGCTGCCCTAATTCCTCGAATTTCAACGCGTCAACTTTATTCGTCTAAATTTTCTTGAACTGATGCTGTGTTCTAGGTCGACTAGGCTTGTGTTCTTCCTTTCCCAGCTTATATTTGAAGTTGTGGATGTATTATGTTGTAGAACTTGTGGGTGGATCTAAAAAAGTGATGGGTAACTGAATTTGTTTTGATTTCTTCTTGCGGTTCTCATTTTGAATTGGATGCATCTGAATTCGAGTTCGTAGTTATTTTGAGTGTGTTTGGTGCTAGGAAAAAAATGATCTTCGGTGGTGTTCCATTGGTTCTGTTTGAATTGGATTGTTTCTGTCTTGAATTGTTTGAATTGTATTAGTTCTGTTTAATTCACTTGCGTTTGCTGATTTTGATCAGTCTGCTTCCCATTTCTAATCTGTTCGGAGCATGTTTAAAGTTAGCTTGCGGCCTTATCTGCCTTGGATATTAGTAACCGTGCATTTATCGTTGCGGGAGGAAATGTTATGAGCCTTGTTGTAAATGTATTCTTTTCGCGATTTTTTTGTTGTTGTTGTTGCTGAATATGTTTATCACATCATATGGGATTGAGTGAAGTTTAGGACAAGAGAAATGATAGTCATGTTGTTGAGGGGGTAATTTGTAATCTGAACTGTGGGTTTATTTTGATGAAGAATGTGGATTTAGGGTTTAGAACATGAACTATCTATTAGTTCTTACAGAAATATTAAGTTTGATTAGCTTTCACGTTCAGTTTGTTGCCAGTTTGTTCTCCAATCTGTACCAACAAATATTTTTAACATGTGGATTAGTTGCGCCTTGATCAGTATTATCCTATTCTTCTCTTCAGGCAAGCAACATGTCAAATACTTCTCACACGAGTTCAACCAACCGATATAACAGGGGCTCTACCCCGTTTGGTGTTAGGCTGTGTGAACACGATGAAGAAGCCGATGTTTTGACATCAATGACCCCTGAAAACCCAGCCCGAAGGTTCTTTAAATGTCCTCGCCGGAAGGTAAAATTTTTATAGTTCACTTGTTTATATCTGTACATGAAGTTTAATGTATGGTTTAATGTGTTAAATGAAATTTAATGTATGGTTCTGTGCATGGTTTATATCTGTACATTAAATTTTTTAAACAACTATGGTTTATAAAGTTTAATATATGGTTTAATGTATGGTTTAATGTGAACAAATTTATATCTGTACATGAAGTTTTATTCTCGGATTTAATTTCATTGTTGACAGCCCGAACCTCCTTGTCGCCTTTTTGAGTAAATATCTGTATATGAAGTTTAATGTATGGTTTAATGTGTTAAGTGAAATTTTATGTATGGTTCAGTGTATGGTTTATAGTTTATATCTGTACATTAAATTTTTTTATGTATGGTTTATAAAGTTTAAATTATGGTTTAATGTATGGTTTAATTTAATTTTTTTTTATATCTGTACATGAAGTTTTATTCTCGGATTTAATTTCATTGTTGACAGCCCGATCCTCCTTGTCGCCTTTTTGAGTGGATTGACCCCGAGTTGCCGCCTTTCCAAAAGGGTTGTTTCAACAAGCTAAAGGCTGAAAAGGATAGGTTGCAAGAGCAGCTAATGTGCAAAAATGTGATGGAGAAATTGCTATCGGAGAGGTTGGACTTAAAAGCCACCGAGATCAAAGCAGTGGAAGATGCGAAGATTCGGATGATGACTGATTTGGAGATTGCAGCAACAGAAAAAGTTGAACTACAGTCCAGGCTTGATCAAGTTGTACGTGAAGCTCAAGAGTTGGGGAAGAAGGTCACATTCATGAAGAAATGTACCTTTTGGTTAATCGTCCTTGCTGTTTTACTCTTTTGTTTCTTTAAGTAAGGTTGTTTAGCATTAAACATGATGACGTTGATATGTACTCTATTTTAGTATTAAACATGTGACGTTGATATGTATTCTATTTTAGTTTTGTAAAACATAATATGTTTTTTAAACAGCTAGTTTCTATCATTCTGACAGATGGTCATTACATTGAAGCATTAGTAACGGGTAAACAGTGCACTTTGATTTCTATGCCAATTATGTGTTTTCATGTGACGTGCTATGACAAGTCATGGTGGCAGGTCTGCTGAAGCTTGCTTTTCTTTAAAGCTGAGTTGATTTGACTAATAAAGGACTTTACGAGCATGTTCACCTTCATGTGTACAAGTATGGGATGCCCAAAACAAATGTCACCCGTATCATTGAGATTTATGCATATCTAATTTGGCACGCTAAAGAAGATATGTTACAGCTTGTAAAATTGACCAAAAAAAATTTGTTGTAGAATGTATGTGTAAAAGTGACAAGTATATAAATTATCTGAACATATACAGTAATATAAATCTATTGTGTTGAATAGCATGCGTAAAGGACTTCTTATGACCTTTCACAGTAAAAATGACATGCTATGATAACATCTGCTACAATAATACAATCCATGTGTACACCATTGTTTATCTTTTCTGCTACGATATTACAGTTCTATGGCTACGTTTTTGCTTTTTTTCGAAGTTGAGCTGATAGGTCCTTATCAACTACTAAATTACTTGCATTATTGGTCATGTGGCATTAAATTTATTTGCAATATTGGTACTGTAGGAATAGCATGCGCACATCACTTTACAGACCATGAAAGACATTGTTTCGTCATCTTTTTGGTAAAAAAAAAAAACAGATTTCAAGAGACAGATTATGACAAGTCACTACAGGTCTAGAGGTAGCTATAAGCTAAGTACGCAAAGCTGAATTGAATAGACATCACTTACATGAAGACCATAAATCTTGCCTTACACCTTTGAATGCATTATTGATCTTAGGGCAGGAAAATTTTGCTATTTAAACCCCATAATTGAGACCATGTATTCATCAACCGTAGAAACAAGTAGTGAAATATTATTGAACTTTTATTAAAACATACAAATTTTATACTTCACAAAATTGCGATGGCTCCTAATTTGGGTTTAGTGCAGGCAGATTATCTGTACGACCTAAATTGGACACCAAAGTTTGATGACTTTCTTATCGACTACTTACTCGAAGATAAACTATGTGGTATATTTGTTCCTAATGGCGATAATACTGAGTCCATTCTTGGTGCTACGCGAGCATTCAATGCGTGGTTTGGCAAGAGTTTCACGATGGAGTACATCGGAATACGAGTTGGAGTTTTGGAGAAACGCCATGATGTTTTCACGGCTCTGAAAGACAAGGCTGGTGTTCAATACGATGTCGGCCTGAACAAGTACAATGCTTCGGGCAACACTTGGGATGAAATGCTAAGGGTGAGTTTTGTCGAAAATAAATTTTGTTCATTTTCATTTCTTACACCAAAACTAGTGTTGCAAACTAAATTTTGTTCATTTTTTCCCGTAGTGGGATGATTTTTCCCTGGCGTACATGACGGAAGGTGATCCACATCATAACAAGCTTGTGGAGTTGTTTTACGAAGAGCCACCGTACGTGAATCCTTTGCAGTGGTGTATCATTTCTGACAGCGACGACGAAGGCAAGAAGAAGGACAGTAGGGGCCGTGGCAAAGGTGTTGAAGTTATCGATGTGGAAGATTACCCTCCAAACCGTCTGCCACCGAGTAGGTTAGTTCCCTACCCCGTTCGAAATGACTTCCCACAGAGAGCTAAGAAACAACCACCGCGTCCAGCCTTTTTTATGGGTAGCAGTTCGAAGGGCCCAAAAAAGAAGCAATCCATACACAGTCAAACCGGTTCAACTGATGGCTCTGTGAATCAGCCCAACAACGACATCTCCTCTCATGTTGCACATGAAACGGAAGAAAATTCTATATCTACTGCCTGTTCTGCCACTCCTATGGATTCCCAATTTGATTGGCCGTGGAATTAACTTCGTCACTTCCCATTTCCCTTCTATGTTTGTTCTTGTTTCGGTGGTGTATCAGTATGTTAGTTGTCGTTGTTGGGTTGTTTAATGGCGCTTTAATATGTTTGTACTTTGTTTCCGTCATGTACCTGTATGGATCTGCATGTTCCTGATTGTCCTAAGATGTAGTCGTCCCGTCGACAATGTGTACCTGTGCTTTGTTTCATTAAGAAAATGTATGTTTGGAATATTATGTATGTTTGGTGGTTTGTTCAATTGTTTGGGTGTTGTACCCTCTCATGTGTCGGCCTTACAAAACTATTAATACACAAATCTTACATACCCGTAATTTTTCAATCACAACAGAGAAAGCATGAAAATGGTCTTCATAAACACAAAAAACGTTTAACAGAAAATGTCCAAAAAAAGGCGCCTTCAAAGACCTACAA